TTACAAGTGGTTGTGTGTTCTTGCAGTCGAATTAAACTCCAGACGTTAAGCTTTCATGACGATAAATAAAAACGCTCTTGTGATGCCTTCGTTGCCATCTCGAACGGCGAAATATCACAGCAGCGACACGGGAACATCAGACGAACTTCTCGGCCGTGTAGTGAAACGCACACAGGCTGCTTTGTCTCATCGTATCCTTTAAAATTTTCAGATGGGACGTTTTCATTTACATAAGCTGCCGTCCTTAATGGACCACAAATTCAGTTACTCGGAGATCTTTGGCCGTGCTTCTGCTTGTCATTTTTATGTGATTTCTGATCTAAAACCGCTTTTTTTTCTCTCTCTTTGCTTTGCTGCAAATCCTCAGTATTTGTACCCCTTTTCTGCATTTCCTCTGCGTGTTCCCGGCTGCCTGTATGAAGTTTGCAGCTGGATTGAGTCCAGACTGTGTTGAATTCCCATCACATGCGAGGCGGTTTTGTGCCAAAACTTGTTCTTAGCCCCTTTTTAAAATATGTCTCCAACGGTGCTGCATCTTTTCCTCGACGTTACGTGAGGAGAATGTTAGCTGCTGCCGACTTTTCAACTTTAACCTTTTCAGACAGATGGCACTCGATGTTTCTTGTCTCAAATCGTGGACATCAATGACTCTGCAGCGACGTTATCGTTTATTAAGGGCATTTCTTTCCTTACGTTGTCGGTAACAGTGATGGAGAATCAACAGCAGCACACACTGGGGCTGAAGTGAGTGCAGGAGAGGCATTTTAAAATAGGATTGAATGCATATTTGTGTATTTCTGAGCCAAATTCTGGGCAAAATCCTTCCTTTTTCTTAAAAATGCAGCTCGATCAATCACTGATGTGATTAATAAAGCTGCACCGAAATGCCAAAAACCATCGTCTCAGGCCTTAAAACAGCAGAAAGACTGAAATCGAGTCCAGCTGCTGCCTCTATTCGCCACACATAGGCCACAAAATCCAACTCGTATAGAATTTGGTTTCTTTTTGTGATAAAATAGGTGTGATGAAGTGTTGTTGTTGTTTGGGTTTCGTTCTACACTTTAAATTTGGAATTAGTAGAAAATTCAAACATCTGTCGCATGCAAGTTAACAAATCGGTGGATGCAAGCAACGGGTCTGTTACCAAATCTGACAGAAATATGTGTGTTTTTGACCGTTTTATTAAGAAAAATGTCTATCATGCTTGAACAAATGAACCGCAATTTGCAAAAGTGATTAAAAAATAGATCTTGTGTACTTACTCTCACTATTTATTACTTCTACTATCTAGAACATCTTTAGGAGGTTGCTAAATATCCATCTTTGAGGGAAAAACCGCACCGTATAATTACGAATCCTCGAGCGTTTTCCGCATTTTTTGAAAATTGCAACCAGTTATTATGAAAAAAAAATGTGCATTTTTATGACTTTGTGTCACAAAAATGCTGAAATATGTCTGGTTTTATCGTCTTGGTTTGCCATATGATGTCAAACAGCGATAGATTCATCGATAACCAGGGTATTAAATCTAATAATATCTGGTGGGATGTTTGTCATCTGGCTGTGCTGTGCTTTAATTCTTCTCCCCACACTAACTGGGACACCGTTCCATTCACTGGTGTTTACATAACTGGAGTTGCATCCAGGTAGCTTTGCATTATTTGCAGCGGTGAGCTTTCCTGCAGCTTCCTTCACGTCGTCTTCGTGATCCCCACCAGCATAAACAGCTTGCAGAAGAAAATGCAAACAGCCGAAGCTGATGAATCACTGTATTTGTGTCCTTCTATAGCCGCCGCCGCCGCCGCTGCAGCGCTGACGTGTAGTTATATGTTTGAAGAGGCGTACATCAGCTAGCTACATGCAAAGGCTCCAAAACGCATGACTGAAAATACAGTCGGAGCTCGTCCGCTTCGTCTTGGATGTCTACCGTAGAGAAGAAATCCACCATAAGCGGTTTTTCCTCGCAGTAATATTTGAATTTACGCTGCTTTTCCCCGATCTGTCTGTTATTTTCCTAATCATAGTCCTAAAAAAAGCCCAGGCTGCAGTAAAAGGTTAGTATGTTATTTAAATTGGACATGTTTGGAGTCAGGAAATGGCGGCGAGACGCACAGCAAAAATGCATAAAAGTTGAGATTTAAATTCATGCTCTCATGTCAGCGAGGCCGTAGCTCTGCCAGAGATGAAGATAACGTTTGGCCGAGGCACCTGCGTAATTTCTAATCAGACCGTCGTGGGTTTGAACCCCGTCCAGGACTCTTTCTGTGCCGTCCTGATGCAGGCGAACAATAAAAAAAAAGAAAAAAGTAGAAACATTCGTCACGGCTGGAGACGCTCCTCGAACAGCATCGCCGCACTAAGCACTTGTTGGAAAAATAATTAATTTTTCCCTCACAACAATAGGAATTATGTCCTCTCTGTTACCTCTTGTCTTTTCCAAACATGGAGTTGTGGGAAATTGCATTTTAACGACGTGGTGGTTCCTCTGATGGGATGCCACGCACCTCTCCTGAGATGATGAGGGCCGACTGCTGCTGCTGCTGCTGCTGCTGCTGTGTATTTCCAGATAAACAGCATACGTTTAACTGCTGCCTCTTTCTGTCTCTCGTTCTTTTTTTTTTTCGTTTTACTATGCCACGGTCTCTTCCTCTGTGGTGGTGTCACTGGGTTTGGTCTCGGCAGCTCAGAGGGCAGTTATGAGTCAGCAGCACCGGCGGCTGAGAGGAGGCTTTGCATGGAGCTCCATCACTCACACACTGAATTCAGCCCTGATTTACCAGCTTTGATGGGCTTCTACGAGTATTTGAGGTTCACTTTCTGAGAGAGAGCGCGGAGAACTGCCAGTATACTGCAGAAAATAACCGGATTCTTCTGTTGTGTTTGCATAGAGGCACATTTTGATGGTACAGTTCTTTACCTCGCGGTTCTAATGTCTAAATTTCAGCTCATTGTGAGATAAAAACAGGTTTAGATGTGTAGGATGGGATAGATTAAGGCATCACTTGTAGGACACTGTCCATCATTGCCTGCAATTGAGCTACAGACTAAAAAAATTGCTTTTTTTTTTTGCCCCTGTCACATTTTTACCTACTGTGGGCTCATTTTTTTTACTGCAACATCTGCAGCACAACCATGAATATAAACTAGACAAACTTAAAAATGTCCTCCATGCAGCTTTACAAATGTATTAATGCCATAAATTGCAAAAAAAGAAAATTAAAAGTTGAATTTCTTTGATTAGTACAACCTTTTTTTCCCAAATGTCCTCCAGTGTTAGCAATACTGAAAAATAAATGTTGACTATATATATTGTTTTATTATTTTTTGTTTTATTCCAGACTGTAGCTGGACAAAGAGGCCCAGTGGATTAATGTTTAGGATAAAAAAGACAAACATGCAGACAACATATCTACCAAATGTCCAAATGCAAACCATTTAAAATCTAGTTTATTTCTGACACATTTAAAACAGCCTTGAGTTGATCACAGTTCTGAACATGTTAACAGTGACGCAGCGGAAAATCAGTGTAAAAAGGAATAAATACATAAAAGAGAGTAAAAGAGTATAAAATATTAAATCAAGGCAAAACAGGACAAGATAAAAGATATAAAATACTTTTAATTACTAACCAAAAAAGCCATTAAAGACACGTACGTGTTGAGGACTCACCTCCTGTCTGCTCTGTGTGAACACTGCCTGCAGTTCAGCCGGAAAGTCTTTTGATTTTCATCGTGTGAATGTTGGTTGCAGCTGAGTCACTCATAGCTTCACGGTTGCGATGATGAGTGGAGAATTTTTAGTTTTTTACAGAATCTAGCCAAAACCAGCAGTTTATTTTTGGCAAATTTTTAAACGAAACGTGTAGAAGAAAGTGAGTTTGATGAAATATGACAATCCTAAGCGGAGATTTGGTTCATTTTCTGGATGTGACACATGAGTAGTTCAAAGACTGTCGGTAACTTTCTGTGTTTACAGTTTCAGGCTCTGATAAATGGCGTCATTTGGTAGATTTATTTATCTTTAGTTCAATAGTCCCTCTGTGAGGATTTAAAACAGGCGCTGAAGATGGAATCAAAAGGAGGACGGCATGAATTTGTAAAAAAATACGGACACAACATTTAGCATCCTGAGCCAGACGTGCTGCATTGCGTACGTCGTAAATTGCAGCCTTTGCTATTTCCTAATTGCATTGTTTCGAATTGCACTTTGAATTTGAAATCGATTAATTGCTGAGCGTCGTCGCAGCTCGTCTCGTCCTCGCTGCTGCAACGGAGCTTCAAGTCATTTTTCGCAGCACACCTGTGCAGTGGACTCAAACAGATCCTTTTTTTTTTCTCTTTAAAATTAAGTGATGTTTTTCAAATGACCTTTTTTTTTTTGAACCCGTATTTAATTTTATTGTACTCGACTGTCATCTCGGGCGTTGCGGGAAAAATGTTTAAAAATTGGAAAATAATTGGTTTTGACTGAAAACGCTGCTGTCAAAACGTGAAGAGTCTTTTCATGCCCTTTTCTGTCTTTTCATTCCCACGGCAGAGCAAATCTTGTGCAAAGAAAATGGATTCACTGACCATTAACTTGTGTCTTTTCTCCTCTGCCCTCTCAGGAACCATGGGAATACCACTACCCAACTGCGTTTGGGAACCGATATGTTGAACATGTCCGACTGAGGGACTGTTTCCTGGGCGGTGAAAGACAAATGGTAAAAGATTAATAATAGAGGACTTCTCCCCCCCCCCTCCCCGAAAGCACAGCTCGCTCCTGATCCTCACCTCTTTACGTCCAGCATCTTCCCGAGTCGGACGGCTCTGAATGACAAGATGCAGTAATGGAAGTCCGCGTGCCATTCAGCGCCGTCGCCATGAAGCAGCTCAGAGGGTAGGGTCTGCCGTGAGCTCGCCTCACCCTACCCGCCCGTCGGCTCCCCCCTCCCCACGTTGAATCCCGCGTTGAATCCCCGACCCGCCTTCTCGACCCGCCCACCTCCACCTCCGCCACGGCTTTGGAAGACGAACATGACGTGCGTTGCGACGACACTGGTTGATGTCTGATAGATATACCTCTGAGGTGTCGAGCGCAAAACCGGTGGAGCAATGAATGGCGGAAAGGACTGCGAGGCGGGAGATGAGAGGCAGGCCGTCCCTGTCCAGGTCCCCATTGGCTGGCAGCGGAAGGCGGAGCACGGCGGCGGCGTCGTGTACATAAGGTAAGGAAACTACAAACACACAGAGAGTGTTCCAGCGCCTTTAAAGTTCTGTCAGCACTCTGAAGGGTTCATCTTTCACTGCAATATAACAACACAGCCATGACTGGAAGGAGAGAGAACGTAAACATGTCTTCTGACAAAGTTATAATGCCATCTCTTCCAGTAATTGTTTTACAGAAATGAAAATAAACTGGTGGTGTTACCAGTAGTGGAGAAGAAATCATGACCCTACACATTATAGATATTTTACTACTTATATTTTTTGTTTGTTTCCATACTTGTCTGCTCTCTGTGGGAACACAGCCTGCAGTTCAACCGAGGATTTTCTCTTTACGTCACTGTCAGAAGCAGCAAGATCCACATTTACATCAAGAAGAGTTTTTTTTTTTTTTTTTTTTTAAGTACACAATCTAGTTATTACTTTATTTTTGGATGAAAAAAAAGAAGTCCTTTTTTGTTTGCGGATTTTGGTTTTTGATTTTGTTTTGTTTTCTTATTAGTTTTTATTTAATCAATTTTATTCATTTGTTTATTTATCTCCCCCCAGCTCAGGCCAACCCTCTTACATGTACATTTCATGCATTGTTATAATGTAGATTTTGGAAATAAAATAAAATCTGATTATTAAAAAAAATAAAAATAAAAAATAAGACGTGCAAACTAAAGTGATTTTAACGATATATCACAATTTTAAGCTACGTTTACATTAATTTTCTATTTTGCAGCACATTTTTTAGTTAAACTGGAATCAACGTAAACAGCACAGAAAAAAAGAAGTGGTGACGACATATTATAGATATTTTCCTAGTTGCTCTGTGTAAACACTGCCTGCAGTTGAGCTGAAAACTCCCTGAATTTTTGTCACGTCACTAATAGATTCAGGTTTGCATTAAGGAGCACAGAATTTTTTGTTTTTTACAGAATCTAGCAAAAGCAAACAGTTTATTTTTGGCAAATTGTTGAATGAAACATGAAATCTCACGATTATAAGATGAGATTTGATTCAGTTTCCCAACGTATACGTTGTTAAATAACCACTGGATGTTCCTTATCCTACAAATCTCTCTGTTGGTGCACATTCTGGATCAGATAAATTGTGTAATTGCATAGGTCACCTTAATTTTGTGAATTTATGGCATTTAGTAAAGCTTGATAGGAGTGTTATTTATAGTTCTTTAGTTATGTCAGGACAAGTAGCCAAAAATAAGCTAAAAATATTTCTTTAAATTTTGCTTAATTCAACATATCTCATGTAAACATTCTGCAACTGCACCAGATTCTGTGAAATTATTTATTTTTTTAAAATTCTACATTACTTGGAGCAACCACAAAGCCATGTCTCACTCAGCTGCAACCAGCAGACTGAACTGCAGGCTGTGTTTCCAGAGCAGAGAGAAGACGACAAGAGAGACTAGCAGGAAAATAAAACATATTTGATCTGATATCAATAGAATAAATACAGCTTGAATCAAAAACAGTGAACAAAGGAGCAAGATGTTGGAAGATACAGTGAGCATGGTGAAACATCTTGATGTGCAAACTCATATCAAAAACGTCAAGTTTGTAGAGGTTGTAAAAATGTAAGTATTACAATATCCATAGTATGGAGAGCCACCATTTTTTACCTCCAGCATTTGTAACACCTATGGGCACGACTTAAAATATGTAAATATATGACAGGAGCAAAAAAAACGAGCAGGGTTTAGATCAGCTAATTGCTTTTTTTTTGGACAAATAAAGCACAGAAATATGATTTCTCAGCAAAAACCCAATGAACTGAATTAAATTTAAATATGTAGGTTTGATGTTTCTTCACATTTGTACCAACAACCATCGGCAAATTAAAACAACAGTGAGTGAAATACATATTTCTGCACAATGACATTTTTATCAACTAATTATTCCATTACGAGTGTGTTCTGTTGCTACAGGCAGATTTAGTTTAATCATAAAAAAGGCAGTTGACGTCGCACATCAAAGCTCAGCGTCAGGTTTTGGTGTCGGCCGCTCAGAATCAAAGCGTGCCCATCAGGTTTGTTTACTGTCCTCACACGGTTCGAGTTTCTCTAATTGATTGGCTCTGCAGGAGACCAACAGAAACATGGTGACTTTCTGATGATGTCGCGTGCTGTGTTGAGTCATGGCTCAACCGCTCGAGTGAAGCTGCGGTGCGTTTGACATCTAAAAATCAAAAAAATCTCTTCAACATATTGTGCTTTGGGAGGCTGCTGGTAGCACTGCAATAAGCAACCCACCGACCCAGGTAAACTGCAGCCCACGTGTTTGCTCAGACGGCAACAAAATCTGGTGAATTTTTGAATGCGGACGACAGATTTAACCCAAAGAATCCACCCGGCTGGTTCCTCCACCAGTCGCCGTGTCACGTAGGCTGGAAGTCCTTCCTTGTATTTACCAGCCACAATGAACTAAAGCAGTCGGCTGGTGTCAGGTTTATTTTGGGTGTTGGAAAGAATCCTGTCTACTTCTGTGACCGTGGCCTGATACTGTCACTGCACACTTGTATTTGCTAATGTTCTTTTACATTTAAAGTGTGCATTTGCTTCAGGGACGTGCAATCCTCGCAGCCGCTGCGATTGATGATTCAGTCGCTGGGTGTTTTTGTCAGCGAACCAGTGTATATGTTTGATAGCAACTACCAGTGGAACATACTGTTCTTCAGTCACTGGAGGTATTTTTCTCTAGATTTCCTTCACACAAAGCCCCCTGTTATTTATTAAGGCTTTACAGCAGCTATGACCTCCTAATGTTTAGTTTTAGTCCTTCAGTAATCCTCATTTTACACTCATGAACCGACTAAGAAATATTCCTATAACGTGCAGCCACCTCCTCCTGCATTTGGCCTGGAAATGTTTTAGAATGCCTGTTTTAATACATACGGATTGTGATTTAAAGAATCCCTCCGTGGTGCAGCATTGTAGAGTGGGAGGATTTTACTGTTTGATTTCATGGTTACGAGTCTGCAAACGCTGCCTGAAGGAGCTGCTAACCTACCTAAAAAAAAAGAAAAAATCATGTGTATGTCTGTCAGTGGAGCATTTCAGGGTGCAATGGTTTCTTTTCTTCTTCTGAGTCAGGCATGAAGCTGCAGCAGGAGCACGGAGCCTTAAAAATGTTCGGTTTAATGATAGGGATTATCAGTTCTCGGGAGCTTCTGTCTAAAAATACGGAATTATGTTCGAAGATCCGTGTCAAAAGTGCTGCAACGTGTTTTACAAAAGGGGAATTTGTGCCGTGGAGCGTCGCCAGTTTCATGTTGTTGTTGTTTTGTGTGTGTGTGCAGTCCCAGTGGCTCGGTGCTGTCCAGCTTGGAGCAGGTGAAGACCTACCTGCTGACAGATGGAACCTGCAAATGCGGCCTGGAGTGCCCGCTCATCCTCCACAAGGTAATGCTTTGTTTCCATTTTACTTAAAATGCAGCAGCCAGACTCTCAACAATAGGCTGTATATACAAGGTGGACGTCACCCAGTGGTTTGTGGAGCACCGTTCTGAAACCTCCACATTGGAATTTGGCCGTCACCATATTGTTGTTTTTTTTTTTTTTTTGAGACCGGATGCAACCAGGACACCAGGCATGCCCATTTGGTAGCAACCTGTCAATTACAAGGTAGCCCTGCCCTAGAACATACCCTGCTTTATCTTGTATTTTACTCTAAATAGCACCATAATTTACCAAATGAGGACCATGCTGTTCCTAAAAAGGCCTTAAACTAGCGATTGAGACCATAAACTAATTCAGAAGACGCTTACTACGGTAACAAATCAAGTGAGAAGTTGGTTTATTTTCTCCTCTATGCAGTCAGCCCCCTGCTGGTTGTTAGATAGAACTCCGGTTTAAGGAGCATCAATGTGGGCTTCACTTTCCAGACCTGGAGGCTTTGTCCATCTTTTATTTGTCGTGCCTCAATAATGTATTTACCCCCTTCTTTTGCTTTTCAACATTGATTCATGTTCAATATAATTTGGCTTTTTTTTTTTTTTTTTTACAGGAATTTACAAAAAGACTAGTCTTTCACGTCAAAATAATGTCAGTTAATCAAACATATAACAGGTGAAATAAGTGACTCCAGAAATATTCACCACCTTCAAGTCAGTATTTAGTAAATGAACCTCAGCAGTGCACATCCATAAACTGAAATTTTAGCCCTTGATTCTTTGCAAAACTATCCGGTTGCACAGGGATAATTAGTAAACATCTCTTTTCAAGTCCAGCCACAAATTCTCGATTCAGGTCTGGGCTGTGACTCGGCCGCTCCAGAACATTCACCTTGTAATCTTTAAACCATTTCTTTGTAGCTATGGCTGTTTGCTTCGGCTCAACGTCTCCCTGGAAAACCATTTTTCTCCCAAGTAGCAGCTCTCTGCATCAGGTTGTCCTCCAGGATTTCCCTATACTTTGCTGCATTCATTTTACCCTCTACCTGTACAAGCCTTCCAGGGCCTGCTGCTGAGAGGCATGGCTACATCATGATGATGCCACCACCGTGCTTCATGGTGGAGGTGCTGTGTTTGTGATGACGTGCATCGTTCGGTGTAGCGTCCATCTGATGAACACACAGCTCAATTTTGGTCCTTCTTCAGAGTCTCTCACAAGCCCTCTGACAAACTGTAGCTGATACTAAATATGAAGTTTTTCCAACAGTAGTTTTCTTTTTGCCAGTTTCCAATAAAGCTTTGACTGGTGAAGAACACAGCAATTGTTAAATGCACAGTAAAAGCTTGCAACTCCCTTATGAGTCATAGATTACGTTAACAGTCAACAATCAATCATTGAAATGGATGGATGTTTTTATCTGTGGCGATAAAACGGTTTTTAACTACAGTTAATGTTTGCCGCAAAATCATATCGGTTACATGCGGAATTTGAGGAACAGATCAAGTTTCTGAATCATAAATTAAATCCTGATTTTAAACTGCTGTTTAACAATTGACCTTGACAAAATCTAAAGTATTGAACACAGCAAACAAGCTGCATTCCTCCACATCAATTAACCTGTAACTTTATTAATATCTGTACAGCGGTTTGTTATTAGAATAACCCTGATGGCTGATCTACATGATGGAGCGACTTGTTCACTTAATCCAGCTGCTGGAAAACACTTTGTTAAATAATCTGTCGGTCTTTACTTCCACCTCTAAATTATATTTATATTAAGGCAAAGAGTTGCCAGTGCACTTCATTATTTTAATGTTGTAAGCATTGAATCAGTCTTGCTCTCCTGAACGTCAGCTGGCCTGTGTTAGCATTTGAAAGTCCTAGCTTAGCGTGAGCCTCGGGTAGCTAGCTAAACACAACAAGACACCTTGTTACATCTTTAAGTCTGCAGAGTTCAGCCTCAGTTAGCAGCTAGACAGCAGCGAGGTGCGCTCGTTTAATTGTCGTGGTTGTCAGCAAACGCACCTGTAACTGTATCTCATTAAACAGTAGTAAGATGCTCCACCTGGTGGCACAACCAGGTACTACAGCAAAGCTACAAAACATTTCCTGACATGCATGTCCTTCGTCTTCTGCCAAATCCATTCATATATTTTTAATAAATCCAGTTATTAACGACAATCGTTTGAGAACAGTTCCACCTCAATATATGTGTTAAGAGGCACTTTAGTTTGCACTGAGATTAATTTTAAAATAGTTTTAAAACGCTCGTCTTGACAGAGATTGCGTTTGTTTTAAACAGAAGGAAATTATGTCGCCTATGATCCTGTTTCTTTGCATTTTTGTGAGCTTCTGTCTCTTCAAGAATCTCAGTCGACTGAGGGGTCTCCAGCAAATGATTCGACTCATCGACTTTCAGGATGCACTTGCACTCGCTGCCAGCCACTGAGAATGAGTGTTTGCTAAACGCCTCTTCAGACTTACATGATATTTTAATTCAGAGCAGACAATCAGCTCTTGACACGTCTCGGCCTCGAGATAGGACACGTTACGTATCTGACATTTGTGACCGGAGCTGGGAAGGAGGAGGAAAGGGGGCTGAGGAAGGAATAAACATGTCTGTGAGGGAGAAGCGAGCGGCGTCACAACAGTCAAACGAAGGTGAAAACCACTTCTGACAGGCTGTTGTTAAAGTGATGCTTTTGTTTTTGTTCAAATGGTCTTTTGAGCATCAAAAAGTCACCTCTGTCGGCTTGAAAGGTGGCTTTAAAAAGTTTTGTCCTTCACGGAGCGAGGTGGACGTGGTCATCTCGAATTAATGGCAGTTCACGGCGGTTTTCATGGTGAGAAAAGGTGAAAAGAAAGCTCTCAAACCAGCCCGGCAGTATAATCTACCCTTCCATATGCTCAGGATACATGAAATAAATTCAACCTTTTCTGATCTCTGTGAAGGACCGAACTACAAATGTTAGGGTGTTGCGAGACGTCCACCGTATCACATTACATGAGGTAATCCGACCGATTATCCTTCTCGATGCTAAATTTGTCCCCAACACTCCTGTCATGTCCGTCGGATCAGGCCATTATCGAGCCGATTTCGTCTGGTCTGGGAAAATGTTTACTGCTCTTTTTGTTTTTGTTTTTTTAAGGTTTTAATAAGCAGATGTAAACCCAGCAAACCGAGAACATTCTCCTCCCTGCGTCCCTTTACGAGCCCCTCAAATTGTCTTCTAGCGGCAGAAAATGCAGAAATTTCCCTGCATATGGGACGCATTCTGTGACACCAATGTGCAAGATTCTTTCCCTGCTCTTCTTAACTGTCTTAAGATGTGGGATATTACTTCAAGGTGCTCAGGAGACTCGTCATATTTATCTGTGACTTTGTCGATATACATTGCAGTCTGTGCTGTTTAGACAGCCCCGAGAGATGAGAGAAAAACACAGCGACTGGTAGATCTGGCTCCAATTTACATAATATTCAAGGGTTGTCACATGACGCAAGGAAGCAGCTTGGTGACTTAATAACTGAACCACGCCATCCTTATCCGGGGCCCTCGGCATCCTTGGGGGGTCCTCTGATTAGTCGCAATCCGTGATAATAAGCTTACTGTTATCTTTGGATTCATGATCACGGGATATCCCAGTTTTCACTTGAATGAGTGAAGTCATGTGTACCGCTTCTCAAATGGATAAGTAATGTGTTGGGGCTGCTGCGATTAGCAAACTCAATCAGTGATGCTGAGAATGACATCAATAGTCCAGTGTTTTTCTTCACTATCCATATGTAATTGTCAGTTTTTGGCTCCAGTCATTGGTCAGCTGCAGTCGGCACTACCGTTTAAAACAAAGGCAGCAGAGTCCAGTTCAGTTTCCAAAGACCCAAGACTTGGAAAGTCTGTGAGCACTTAAAAAAACTCCTAAAACAAAAAGGAAGCTTTTACTAGATCACAACTAACACTGAATTTTTGGGTCTGATACCGATTATAGGGAGTAAGAAACTCTAATATTGATATATTGCCTGATATTGTTTTTATGTAATTACCAATAAAAGTGTTCTTATTCACATGTTTTTCTGTTTTTGTGATCAGACAGCAGAACGATTATGAATGTTGATTGGAACAACATCTTTATCATGTTGGCAGCTTAGCTTTAAAGTTTTGTCCTTGAATTTCTAAACGTGTGTTGACATTTCATTCTGTGCTGCTTTATACATTGACATACAGTTTGTCAAATGAAAATGAACTCAAATGAAACAGTCACCTTGCTTTTTTAAAAGAAAAATAATCTGTTGAGATTAATTAACTGATCGGTAAACTAGGAGAAAAAGAATCGGCGGAAAAACAGCGACAGTTGAAACCCAAAGATACGACACAACGTTTAAGCACGTAGCTGTGACTTTATATCTGTTTGACTCTCTTTCATCGTCTTCCTCAGGTGTTCAACTTCGACCCAGGGGCGGCTGTCAAGCAGAGGACAGCAGAGGATGTGAAAGCAGATGAAGACGTCACCAAACTCTGCATTCACAAGAGGAAGCTTCTGGCCGTGGCCACGCTGCACAAGAGCATGGAGACGCACCCACCGCTGACGCTGACCAGTCCAGGGGGAGGTACGAGTCCATGGAAATACAGCTGTTAGTCCTCTGAAGTCGTGTTTCATTTTCAAAGCAGCCCAAAGACTCAGTGTAGAGTATGCAGAGGGAAACCTGCAGCAGCTTGTTATGTAATTTTGCTGAATGAAGCACGAACAACCAGCCAAGTGTTAATGCAAATTGGATTTTAATTGAAATACTGTTTGTTTATTAAATGTTGATGAGAAATTTTTACGTCAAAATATAAAATAATTTGGGATTTTTAAGCCTCTATCTTGAGAATTTATGCAAAAAATTAATTTTCTGTTTAAATGTTTAAGCATTAACTGGCAGAACCAGCCCGTGGATTTTAAAGGCATGTAACGCGTTTTAAAAATCAGCAAAATTACACCATTTATTACAACCACAAACTATAAAAACGTCAAGAATTGTCAGATTTCCAAGGGAGACAAAAATGAAAATAGTAAATGACCAACAAGCTAATTTTTTTCCTAATATTTGTAACATCTGCAAGTTTAGTCAATTTTTGTAAAATGCATAATCAACGAAATTCTACTTTTATTTTTTCATGATTTATGACATTATTGTTTTATTAGACTGCATAGAAGCCATTTCTTTGTTCTTTATATAGACATGTAAAAATGAGCCCACAGTGAGTAAAAATGTGACAAGAGCAAAAACTGTCCCAAACTGGTTGGAGTTCAGTTTCTTTCATTTGAAACCGTTGTTTTTATTTATTGCAGCCACTGTGGCCTGTAGATCAATGCATTGTATTTGCTCCATATTGTTGATATTAATTTAACTAAAACCGGCTTTGTTTGCCTTTCAGGTACGTCATCTGTGGTTGCTGTGCATTCCACGACTCAACGAGCAATAAGGACTAAACCCCACGATGGCCTGCCCAACGCTGTTGGCCCCGACTGCAAGAATCCTTTCAAGATGATGATGGCAGCTGGACAGCAGCAGCAGCAGAGGCTGTATCCACCCCAGGAGATGGGGGGAGCCCAGCAGCCAGAGCTCTACTCTGGGTACGCCAGGCCTCAGAGGCTGGGCAGTGGGGAACCAGGCCCTAAATCCCCTTACCGGGCTGGCTATGGAGGCATGCTGAGCCCACCTCCCTCCAGTGCTAAGCTGTATGGAGATGGCTCACAGTCTCCCAGTGCAGACACTCTGGGCAGCCCTGAGGGCTTTCAAAGGACCAATCCTTGTGGGTTTCCTGGAGCCGGCAGTCCTGGCTCAGCCTCCATCCACGGGAACACGAGGACGCCTCTTTCCCCACCCAGTGTGATGCTCCACGGCTCCCCTGCGGGCCAGCCATCCTGCGCCATGACAGGAAGGACTAGCACGCCCCTCTCCCCAACGGCCACTGCCAAAAGCCCTGTCATGAACATGAACATGCCACGGGGGAATTTTCCCCCTGGTATGGATATGCCCCGTGCAGCGTTTCACCATAAAACACAGCCCCCTGTGCACCCTGTACCGCCCCCTCCATCCATACCGCCATCCTGTGCCCTTCAGAAAAGGCAGTTGACCTCTGAAAAGGACCCCTTAGGCATCCTGGACCCCATCCCCAGCAAACCAGTCAGCCAGCCCCCCACCAATGCCCCAAACCCTTCCAACTTCCAGCCTAACATCCACTCTCAGGTACAAATGATGAATGTAAACATACCCCCTCCCGCCATCGTTCCCTTGCCAAGCAACTTACCTTTACCCACAGTGAAGCCTGGGCCTGTGGGGCATGGCGGCCATGTTCAAAGGACTCAACAGGGTGGTCCGGCTTCCTCCATGTCTCCTTCCCCTGTCACCTCCCCTGTCCACATGGCTGGGCCTGCGCACGGGAGGATGGAGGCCTCCCCTCATCGCTCACGTTCGTCCTCCACCTCCTCTGACCATGGGAACTTTGCAATGCCCTCAGGGCACCAGGCCCCGTGTGGCACCATGAAGGTTCCTCCTCGTTCCCCCAGGTCGGCAATGGGCTCTCCCAGGCCAGCCATGCCCTCCAGCCCCTCCACCAACAAAACTGACCCTCTCCACCAGTACAAAGACTCCCAGCTGCTGCCTGGGATGGGAAACTCAATTGGCCCCCAGCAGCACAGCAATCCCATGTACTCACCCACCTCTTCCTCCTCATCGTCATCTTCTTTGGCAACCCCCAGCGCTTCCCAGAAGGGCCACCCAGGACTCCTGGGGATGCCCCTCAACCAGATCCTCAACCAACAGAATGCCGCTTCCTTCCCCGCCAGCAGTCTCCTGTCAGCCGCAGCCAAAGCACAGCTAGCAAATCAAAACAAACTCAGCGCTGCTGGCAACAGCACTGCTGGCATGGCAGGTGGTGGTGTTGGCATGTCAGGCATGGGGGCAGGTGGTGGAGGTAACGGAGGGGGTGTCGGGCACCCTGGCTCTATGAGCGGCCCTCGAGGCATGGAGGGACACAGCACTTTAAACCCCATGCTCCCGCCAAACTCTACCATGCTGCTCAACACTCCTGAGGGCCAGAGTGGCCGGGCGGCTCTCAGAGACAAGCTCATGGCCCAGCAGAGGGATCCCATGCGCAAACGGAAGCAGTCATCGGGCAACGCTGCGGTGAACCACGACAACACTAACAACATGGTCTACAACATGCTTAACAAACCAGGCATGGGAGGACCCCACATGCCGGGGCCCAGTGCCACTGAGCAGCTGAGAAAAGTGGGCCGACTTGGAAACCTTCACCCGAACACCTCTATGGCTCAGCTTCTGCAGTCCATGAGCTGCCAGAGTTCTCACAACCTGGCTGGGAACAGCCATCGTCCAGGCCTTAGCCCCGGCCCTGGTGCTCAAGGAGCTGCGCCGCTGCACTACAACGACAGCACGGGCATGGTCCCAGGTGGTCCTCAGCAGAATCTCCTTGTTCAGCAGAGGCTGCGAGGTCCGGGAGATACCATGCAGCACTGCCAGAACATGGATACCGCTGGAGGCCACCTGGGCCCTCGTCCAGGCCAGTTCCCTGACATGATGGCTCAGATGCAGGCCTCTTCCATGAGTAACTGTGGGCCTATGGGTCCAGGCGGTGGACCGGTGGGACCTGACGGCATCCCGCTGGGACGCCCCAACACTAACCCCCCACCACTGTCCCATCCCGGCCCCCATCCCTCACAACTTCACAGTATGGGGCGGACTAACATGGTGATGCCACATGGAGGTGGCGACGGAAGCTGTACCCAGGCTGTCTCTGATGCAGGTGAGTACAAATAAGAAGATGTGCCTGAAAAATGCCTGAAGTCATAAATGTTTTGTCTTAATTGTATGAACATGATTGACTTCAATGTTGACGCTTAAAATGCTGCGCTCATGCACGTTTGGGTTTGCAGGAACAGATGGAGACTAGAGGCTTCACTGTGTATAGCTGACTAGCTAGCATCTCCCGCAGCCTGCATGTGAGACGTTTAGGGAACATCGGTGAATTGTAGGGTCCATCGATAAGCAGATGTTCAGCAAGCAATGTGTTTTGGGTAAAGTTTTGTTATTGTTTAACTTCTACGAGATGCAGGTTTAGATTATTTTAGGTCTTATTTTGAAGCAGATTTGCACATTAGGAGGTACGTAGAAAAACAAGGAAGTGAAAACTGTTTCGTTATTGGGAAGTACAGTAAAAAAACAAAACAAAAATTGTCTCTAAAATCAAGGAACAATCATGATCTCAGTATGAATCAGAATAATTGTGATTATCATTTTGGGGCATAATTAGCCCAAATCAGTTCAAGTAAATCATGATGATGAACAAAAGCAGCTACTCTATTGATTGTGTAAACCATTTAATCAGCACCATAAAGCTCTGTAGAGGAGCCTAAAGCCAGATCTATATACTATCCAAAGCAAAAAACTGTATTAGATGCCTTTATCAATGTTGCTCCATGTAAGAAAGTTTCCAAATGTTTTTTTCAGCTGTTCAAATTATTTTTCATTTTCTGTGCCGATGCACTCCCCCGACAAAACCACACCAGTCATTTGAGAATGATTAATTGTTTATAAATAGCAAGTTATCTGGTGAAAATGTCTGCACTTTTTCCCATATATATCCCAGAAAAAAAATTTGCAATGTCAGTTTAACCGGTGTTCGCGTTAATTGGACGTTAATTTAATTATCACAGTTGTCACTTTATAATGACAAAAAGCCAAATATGTGCTTATTTATGTTTTTCATTTTTTATTTAGGTATTTTCTTTATTTTTAATTAAGCATTTCACATGTGCTGCTGCTGAATGTTTGGCGTTATTTCACGGTGACACCCTGATTTATTAATTAAAGAGATGATATTGAATTATTATGACATATTTGTGTCATTTCGGTTCCATAAATTCCAGTTATTTTTCTAAAGTGAATATGATAGCGATTACCATCGTAATGGCTACTAATTGTACAAGAGTTTATTGATTAAATAGAAATGTGATTGTTAAAGCTCCTCAGATCATTAATGATCATATTAATTAACATTCAATTTGGCCAAAATGATGGGAATGATTATGTAGTTTTAGTCCGGTGTATAAAAATAATCTGGTTTGGTGACGTCTGACGGTCCAGCGCTGACCTCTCTGTGGCTGGAAGATGGTGTTGATGTCCTGTGCAGTTAATGAGCTTATATCCCCCTCCCTCGCTCGTGATAAGCTCGATGAAGATGTGGTTTCTATGGTTATGAGTGAACTAAAACCAAAGGATTTAGGTGATAGGCCCCGAGCCGAGACAGTCAGACTCCTCCAGTATCTCCGAGCTAATGAGCAGGCCCCTCATCTCTGGAAGCTCGGCTAATTGTCAGTCAGCCAGTGTTTCTCTTTGTTTTATTTGTATGCTAGCATCAGTCAATGGTGTAAGAAGATGGAAATGGGATCTGCATCACGCTTTAAGGGAAGCAGCCCAGATAGGGCGCTCTAAAGAGCTTCTCCCGGCAAGCTGGTCGCTATAGTAACGATAGACCCTGAATAGAGACCAGAGTGAAGCCTTTGATGAGGGTTTAGGCCTGTGTGTGCGTTTGAATGACTGTGTGTGCGTGTCTGTTACTACTTGTGCATTACAGTGTGCGCGCTTCTGTTTATTTGTGTGCATATGAATGACTTTGTGTGTGACTGTATGATTTGTGCGTGCGCGCATTCATGTTTGCGATTGTTTTGAAACCACTGAAAAGACCTAGATCTTGTGTGTGTGTGTGTGTGTTTTTTTCCCCTCCTCCTCCTCCTCTCTGCCTGCTGTGGGACTGGACTCTGAGTTTATGTATTCATTGTGCGTCCGTGTGTCCTCATATGGTTTATAATGGAGATATCACCAAGGTCTGCTGCAGGCCACCTGTTCTTATCACCAGGTGCCCTGTTATTCTGTATTTCTTCTGAGTCGAGTCATTGAAATTCAGGTGGTCTTGTGTAGGCCGCGATGTTTGTCGCCACTGGGATGGCAAAGGGTAGAAAAAGTTGTCGCAAATTGCAGTTTTGACATTTGCAATTTCGATACGCTTACAGTGATATTTACAGTTATTTGCAGTGAACGGTGCCTTAAGAGAACACGATGCAAAATCATGAACAATGACGCAAGCTGTGATTCTGGACTGTATACCAATATGGATATTTCCAAAGCTGGCAAAATTAGATTTCACATTGCAGGCAGGTGTGACTCAACACAAATTGATGTTAAATTCAGTCAACCTGCTTTAGCTTCATTTTTCTGTTTCATACTAGTTTCGATTATCTGACGCCTGCAATGGTGTGGACATTGTCACCGCTACTGTTCGGCGTTGACCTGTTTAGTGTGTAGGCAGCAAGGTCCTGTTGTTGGTCATCCAAGATATCAACTTGAGATGGGACTGTTTTTTTGTTATAATCATCATAAAGTTGCACTGGACTCAAAGCGGTAGTGAAGCAAAGTGGGTGCATTCTACCTGCCAGCCATATTAGCTTAAATAAATCATAAATAATTCTATAATGTCAGTATTTGCAGCATCTTAAATCATTTTAACTGGACTGATATTATTGGACAATATTGCTCTATCACAAATATGTTATCGACGTATACGTGGGCTGATATGTAAAGCACTTTGGGATAAATTAGGTTCTCTCAGCTCTGTCTGCAGCACATGTAGCAGAGTCGGTGCGGAGTAAGGTGGTGTTTTCATAGCAAACTGCTCACGAGTTTGTGGAATACGTTCTGGAAAGTTAATAAGCATCATTTGACTCCCGCATTTTGTACGTATATACATATATATTTATATGTATTCTGTGTATTTAAAGAGTATCAGCTGATGTATTCTCTACTACCTAAAAGTCTGATATCATTCAGTGTCTAATTTTATTCTAGATATTTTGTACGCCAGTGATACCAGCAGACTGGGAGCAGACCAGCTGTCCATATTCATATGATTTCAGAAAATACATCAGCTGGTGATCACAGCACAAGAACTGTTGAGGAATAAAACACAGACAAATCAGCTGCCGGTTTGAGATGATTTGCTTTATTGGTCGATGAGATGTGATACACAAACTGTACTCGACTTTTTGGAAACAAATGCGACCACACCGATGACTTCTTTTACATGACTGAGTAAACGTTGAATGAATAAGTTAGAGCCCATTAGGTTGGGAGAGTTGTAAGTGTTGAAAACAGGGGGTGTTCACATGCAGTTGGTTTCTCCAGCAGCCACAAATAAGAAATTAATCCTAGAAGGCTGTTGATGTTGATGAAAGTAACACTGGAGATTGTCTGACCAATGAAAATTAGTTTGGATGCGAGCACATCGACCAACAAATCAACCCCGATAGATTAAAGCTAGCACATCGCATTTTCATGGCATCTTATCCCTTTTTTCTTATTTCTGTTCACTCATTCATTTTGTATATTCAGTATTGCTTACTAAAATGCATTGAACATATTGGGACTTAAGCTGTTTTCCCAAATACTTATGGGGTTTACACTGACCTACAAACTTATGCTCCTATTTTTCGCTGCCGTTTGTTATCCGTTTGGCTGTTACTGCCTTCTTCAGTTGCCAGAAATATGCTCATACATATACATCTCAGAGCCAAGATAGTAGAACAGGAAATACCAATTTTTAACCCTCTGAACTCCAAGCAGTTTCTGGGCATTTTTT